CTTTATACTCATCTGGCAAAACTCCAGCCCTCAACTTACCTGCTTCCTCCATAGCTGTACCTGGACAGCCAAAGCGGCTGAAACAAGACAGCAGTGATGTGAAGATTCATAACCATCAACCTGAAATGGGCTTACCTCTGCATGACCCCTCCTCTCCTCTTTGTGAGGAGATGACCTCACTTATTACCTAGAGAAGAAACTCAGACACCAGAGAGGGTCACTCCCAACTTCCTGACTCCTATCTCCCCAGCCAGTCCCACCAATTCCTTCCATTTCAGTGGAGGAGGGGCTCATTACCTCTGATACCAACCCTTTCAGCTGGGCTTTACATCCCACCCACTCCTAACTTCTCAGCACCCTTACCTGATCTCTCCAGTCTCACACATTTTCTAATTCCTTTTCTCTCTGGGATCGTTCACATTGGCTGGTCATGATTATGTCGCTTTTATCATAAAAGAGCAACAACAAATCAGAAGGCACAGGCAGCCCCCTCCCAATCAAATCACACATTTGAGCCTCTGTAGACACACATGTTTTCTCCATCACCCATCCTCGTCCTATCTCTCTTCCCCATCCCACAGCCAGACTTCTCAAAGACGTAGCCTTATTTTTCCCTTTCCTTCTAATTTCTCATTCCACACTAATCTGGCATCTATCCCCAAATAATTCACCCAGAGAGCTTTTACTAAATCATCAATGACCTCTAATGGATCAGAATCACTAAAGTCAATGGGCGTTTTTCTATATATCACTTGACTTTATAGCACTGAACACAGTTCATTATACCCTCCTTGAAGCATTTTCAGATCCTGGCTCCATCACATCACATGCTCCTGGTTTTCCTTCCATCTCTGGAGCCCCTGCCCTTATAGCTCCTTTACAGATTCATCCTCCTCCATCCAGTCATTAGTAATGATATTCTTCCTTTGTCTATTAGACTGTCTTTGACTCTCTTTCTATTCTATACTTGTTCCCTAAGGATCTCATACATGGTCATCACTAATTGACATATGTATGCAAATGACCCAACATTTACATATCAGACACAGACCTCTTCTTTGCTTTCCATATACTCAACTGCCAACTTTGGCTATCACAAGGTCAACTCAAACACATAACAAAACATGCAATCTTATCTCCCCTTCACTCCCACACTGTCCCCACTCCTCCAAATCTATTACTCTCCCAAAATACTCATTCTGGGAAAGGCCACCTCCACATACCCTTAACCAACATGAGAATGTCAACCGTGACACTTCTCTTTCTCCCTCCTACATATGACCTGTCATCAAGTTCAATCACTTGTTCCTTATAACAGCACCCAAATCCATCCATTCTTACCACCAAATATTAGTCCAATTTACTATCATTTGCCAATGACCTCCTAATGGTCTATCTGCAGTCACTCACACTCTTGTCTAATTTGTTCTATAGGAAGCAGGTCTATTGAAGGTCCTATCTTATATCTCCAGCCTTAGCCTCATTCCATACCACACTCCCAGCTCTCCCTTCTCCAGCCACTGGTCCTTCCTACTTTCCCAGAAGGTTCATCTGCTTCTTCCACTGCAGGGACGCTGCACATGCTGGTCTATTGCTTGGGATACAAAATCCTACCCCTCCCTCAGAGGAAGTCCCCCTGATGCCTCAGACTGAGTCAAGTCTTTCATTCTCCCAAGGATCTTTCTTTCACTACCCTTATCATAGCTGTGACCTAGCTTTCTTCTTGTGATTTGATCATTTGCCTCTCTAGCAACACTGTGCAGGCCACAAGGTCACTGACAAGGTCTAGTTTTGCTCACAGATACGTTCCAGGGCCAGGTACAGTTTCAGCACGTGGTAGGCACTCAGGGAGGTTTTGCTATTGTTTTTCTTCAAGGCTGTAGGTATGCAGTAAAGCTTACACACACAAAGGAAACTTGGGTACATTGTAGATTTCCAAGGCCAACCCCTGCAACTCAGAGGAAACAAAAGCACAACTTGGTGGCATCTTCACAGCTTATTCCTGCCAGGGCTATTTTTTTTCTAAACACCGTCCTATTTACAAAAAATTTGGATAAGTTGGCTGCAGATGACTATTTGAGGAGGCGCTGCCTATTCTATTTCACATGTTATAATCTGTTTTTGTTCCTGGGGCAGGTATAAGGATGTTTTGTGGACACCCATGGCCAATAACACAAAAGATGCTGGGCATCAGGCTAATTGCTCCCCAGGGCCTGGGCGGAGCCTTTGAGGACAGGTTGGAAAGCAGGTGGAGATCATCTCCCTGAGGACCTGTTGTTTTACGTTCTATGAGTTACTGCTCTCCTACGCTGACCAGTAATGCAGAGATGCTTCTGAGAGGAACTCTGCCCTGTAGTGCTTTGACCACCATGCAGAACTCAGCCCTGGGTCTTATGCTGAAGGCCTTTAGGACACTAGCATTCAGCTTAGAATAAGAGGGGCATATGAACAGCATGAGACATGAAGCTCTATCTTTGAAAATTTCATATAGTAGCTATTGATGCCAAAATTGAGGAAAATCTTGAGATCATAATTTTCTAATGTAGTTTTCTTATTTCTATACAACTTGCAAAGCAATATTTGAAGGTGTTGCATATATACTGAAACACATGTCCCATATATTGAGTTACAGTAAAACTACAGTATAGAGAATTATGGCAAATTATAAATGTAACTCATTGTGGAAATAATAACAGGCCAAGCATGCACTGTGTTAATATAATTTCATGTGTTAAAAAGCATACAATTTTAAATACAAATACATAATATAAAATGCAATATATGGACTTATTCTTTGCATTTAAAGTCATGGACATTACTGTGCATATGAAATGGCATTACATACACACACAGCCAAGACAAATATATGCATTCCAGCTAAAACTGGCAAACCAATTAACATTCTCACAATCAATCAATCCTCCTGTATATTTAATATTTGATTCTTATCCATGCAAAGGGAAGTTTGTAATTCAAAGTACTGCTTACACATATATGTAATTTATGATGTTAAACATCCTTATGTTGGCAATAGTTTTCTCATTTTGGCTAAAAACTAGCACAGAAAATCTCTCCTTTCCAAAAACAAGACATAACATTTCTGAATCCAGTTAAGTACAAGGAACACTACAGTGTAAACTGTTGACTTGAAAAACCCCCCACAAAATAGCTTCAGTTATATCATGAAACCATCCATCTATTGTGATACAGATATATTCCATAGTATGTCCTCCAGCTTCTCTAATTTGGAACCTGAATGTCTCTTAAAGAGAAACAACAACTACACACACATAACATTCAGCTGTCAGTTTAACTAGTTTGGCCACAGAAATCATAGAAACTTGCTAAGAATAGTTAAAAATAAGAATGATTAAAGTTTCATTTTTGCCTGTCACATGTTTTATAATTCTTTCTCCCCAAAGAATTTTAAATTAATGTTTTTTCCAAACTTTTAATGATTCATGAGTAATTTGATGCTGCTGTACTTTGCTTAAAGAATGTATTTCATTTTGATTTCTCCTCTCCAATGCAATGGTCTAAGTGTCCTTTTCTTTGTCACCTCATGAAGAGAGGATTCACAGGAGTCACCCATTTAGACCTTTGCCTGCATGTAAATCTCTCCGTAGTGCTTGGGGAGGCATGCAGGACCCACACATACACCTTAACAGATCTGTGCAATGACCAAGAGGTTGGAGAATGCAGTGAGGTGAATATAGAGATTTATAGAATGCAGCAGTTCATTCTAATCTCAGGAATTAACAGGTTTTATATATAGCAACGGGGCACTGGGGCTTTCATCTAAGTAACAGAGTCAGAACATGAACTGGAGATGTCTACCATGAGGATTGTTTAAGATTCAAGACTTTTTGCAACTTTCCTATGTTTGTTATTCTCTTTCATTCCCCCAAAGCAATTAGCAGGAAAATGACTGGATCTGTGGAATAGTGTTCAGGTACAAAAAGTAGGTCATCTTCTATTTTTGTGGTTAGTTTGGGGGAGAGAAAAAGGGTAAGAGACCAGAAAAATAGAGGAGGTGGCAATTCTGAGAAGGAGAGAGAGCAAGTTGAGTTTTTTGGAAGGTAGAGAAAGAAAGAAATAAAAGTGCTGGAGTAGGCCTGGGCACATAATTAGCAAAATCAAAGCAAAACAAACAAACAAAAAAAATCGACTCCGCCCTTCTAGCATCTCCTCTAAAACAAGGTGAAATCAGAAGTCCTTCACTTATATATTACTCTCAAGCACACACTTCCTCGTTTAAAAAAATCCAGTGTGCCACATGAACTCTCCACATTTTAAGTTATGTAAGGTACAATTCCTAACCCTATTTTATTCATGGGGAAACTGAGGTACAGCATTAAATAAACAGGGCAAAGGCCATGTAACTACCAAGTATCAGAGCTGGGACTTGAACACAGATATTCAGACTCCAGAGTCTGTGCTCTTAGCCACTCAGCTATGCTGACTTGCCACAAGGTCCTTTGCTGTCCACTAGGCTACGAACTATAGTTATCTTTGTCACCAGTACTGCTCCATTTCTACTCTCCTGTGTTTTCCTGCCATGTCCAAGAATTAGTTATTCAAGACAATTCCTCCATGAAATAACCTATCCTATCTGCCAACAACTATATATAATTTATTTTCTGCTGTGTGTTGATTTTTACTGGAACCATGAAAAGAAGGATGAAAAGTAAGAAATGGATTGTCAATGCTAGACTGAAAGCATTCAATTATAGAAAAGGTGGAGGTGTAAGTGCAGATATTTATAGATCATATAAAAGTGGTTCTTTAAAAACACCCTCACCCCCGAGACACAAGAAAACACACAGAATCTAAAAGCCAGTCTCAATCATATGGAATAATTATTAGAGACAAGAGCAATTCTAAGACTTGATATTTTTCCTTTGGTTCCGACAGCCTACAGTAATTAAAGTCTCCTAATTAACACACACAGTGGAAGTCAACAAAAGCCCAGTGAGAAATGAAGGAAAAAATAATCTTACCTGCAGATGTGTGCTTGAACTTTTCGCTTTTCTTCTTCCTCCATTTCCAAGGCTTGAAAATCCTTCCCAGGTTGGCAAACTTACTTCTCCTCCGGATGGGTGGGGTATGGGTACCTGGGACGAGGGAGTCAGAACGCATTGCCGCCAGCCTCTCCACTTCCTCAGCTTGTTTTTCCCAAGAAAACGATGAAAATAGAGAGAGGAAAAAAAAGTGTTAAAATGGGAGCCTCACAGATGGCCAGCGTTTGCCATGGTTACAGATAACAGAAGCCACATGACTGAAGTTCCGTTTCTCTTTCCATCTTTTTGTAATGGAAGTCATGCCAACATGCTCCAAAGGCCAGGGAGAGTCAGCCAAATCCTAGGGATTCAAAGACCCTAACCAAACTTGCCTAACCTTAACCCAGACATGGGGGAGGAGGAGGAGGAGCAGAGCCCTCCTGACATGCCAGACACTCCCCACAAGGCGGGGAGGCATCAGAAGAGTCAAATGACAGTCAGTGTAACTACTGGCCCAGCAATTTCTCAAATAAGACTTGGCAGATGCAATCACTATAACACCGTCTGCTGAGAAAAGAGGGAGAAAACATTTATCAACTGCCTATTCCAGTGCCAACATGCCACCACCCACGGCTCTCTATCCTACTGCCCGCTCACCCAGCCCTGCGGAAGCACTGGGCTCTGTTGAGTGGCTCCACCTTAGGGTTGCTGACTGATTTTAGAGCGCTCGCCATTTGTTAGATTCTATAATTGCCTTGACTCCTCTAGTCTTTTTGTTTCTGCTTTAATTTCTGAAAGAAGATTCTTAGAACTTGAAAGCTGAGAGTGACTTTAGGACCACCTAGACTACTCCCAATAACTTTAGATTTGAGGACACTCAAACCTGTAATGCTTAGTGGGGTCCCTTTGTTTAAGGCCACAGTCGTCCTGACCTCTTTTATAACTTGGAATGAAACAAATTCCTTTCCAACTTACATGATCATGTACACATCCCAGTGAGGTAAATATACTGCAACTTGAATTTCTGAGACAGGAATAATCAGAGAAAATAACCTCCTTGACAAAAATCAAGGGGGCACAAAGGAGTCGCCTTTGCAGAAAGTCAAATTATATACCTAAAGCTGTGGCCAATCCCAAACCCTCTGTTGGACCTTTAGCACTGTCTTTCAGAAAAATCACCTGGACAGGCTGTTCTCAGAAGCTCAGTCTTACAGCCTGGTAGGCTGCGTGAGGTCATTTGAAATGGTTCTCACTCAGGAGATTCGTACATTCAGCAAACATATATGGAACCTGCACCATGTGCCAGGCAGTGTGCTGTGGTGACAGATGATGACAGGTTGGTAAAGGCTCCTTGCAGCAAGACTGAAAGGAAGTAGATGAATTTGAGAGATGTCTGGGAAGCAAGGTCCAGAGGACTTAGTGACTAATTGGATGGCCTGAGGGAGGTCAGTGAATGGCAGCCTTCATTCTCGGGGGCAGGGAACATGGGGGAGGCACAGGTTTGCAGGTGAGGACAGCAAGAATCTGGACATGATGTGTGGTGATAGCACTGAAAAGCTTTGACTACATGGCTCAATACACTGGTAGCTCCTCTTTTGAATCATTGTGTTAAGTAGCTGCTTACTACTGTGCCAGATACTGTGAGCCTTTATTGGGCAGACACACAGAAGAATGGGACATGGCTGAGCAGCGTCTAGAGGTGGAGATAAAAGGCTCAGTGTGTAAAACTGCCAAAACAGGAAACCATGTAAAATTCAATGGAGACAAAGAGAATGATTAATTCTGTTTGGCCGAGTTGGAAAAGACCCCAGGGACGTAACATTTGGCTATGTATTTTTAAAAATATACATATTTTTATTGATTTCAGAGAAGAAGGGTGATGGAGAGAGAGAGATAGAAAGATCAGTGATGAGAATTGAATCACTGATGGGCTGCCTCCCACACACCTCCTACTGGGGATTGAGCCTACAACCTGGTGTAGACAAAAGGGGCCACATGCTAACGTGAAAAGCTCAGGGAAGGCCTTCATGGCAGTCTTGCAAACTCAGAGACCTAAAGTAACCACAAAGAATGGTCTAAAATTAAAATTTAAAAGCAGTCATGGTGGATAGTTACCTCCTAGGCCGGTATCCTCACTGACAAGGCCAACTTTTATCTTAACTGAGTTTATCTGTCTTTTTGCATCTATGATAACATATCCTTGAAATGTCTGGGTAACTTCCCTTTTTCTGGACCCCTTGGGGCACAACCTAATGTGCCTGAGTGCCAGACAGATACCACAAATTCCTTCATTGTTATTGTTATCATCTTAATTGTTGACTGTTGACTATCCTGCACCCACATAAGTATTTGTCCATCATTTTACTTTTTATCCAATCCCAGGGCTTTCCCCTGCTTTGCTTTCTCCCGCTTCTCTAATCTATCGCCAATGGATTTCATGTGACCCACCTACGTCCCCTCCTTTGATTACAATGTATAAAAATAGATGAAAAGCCACCATTCTCTGGAGCATTACCCCAATCCCTTGAAATACTGCTTCCTGGCAATTGTTGACAGTTTGGCTCAAATAAACTCACAAAAATTGTTTACAGGTTTTAATGTTTTTACGTTAACATCAGGCATGTGTCTCAACAGGATTAGTATTGTGACCTCCTGGTTTATGCTCACCAGCCGCACTCATTTGGCTAGGTTTTTGAAGAGGAGGAACTGTTATCCCCACATGGGGAAGGGGGAGACATGGATCCCAGGAAGGAAAACAGACCAAAAGGAACAGAGAGGGCTGGGAGAACGTGGCATGTTTAGGAACTTCGAGAAACAGTAAACCGTGAGTTGGTTATGCTGGTGAGATGGAGAGCCAGTGGGGAAAGGTGGTAGCTGGAGGAGTCAGAACCAGATCATGCAAGCCTTTGAAAGGTTTGATTAGGTGTTTGTATCCCACAGGCAGGGGAAAACTATGAGAATCAGAAAATGCAAATTGACATTATTACTACATTCAATAAATATGCATTGAGTGCTCACTATGTACCAGATGCTTAGGCTATGCCAGTAAGCAAAACATATAAAAATACCAATCTGTGGAGCTTACACTGGTGAGTGGGGTGGGGAACATACAATACACATTAAAACTAGGTAAACTGTAGAGTAAGTTAGAAAATATATGCTTTGGAAGAAAAATAAAAGGCAAATAGGAACCTGGCAAAAGAGGTCAAGAGTGTCTAGGTTGGGGCGGGGAGGGGGGGAGTGGGCAATATTAAATAGCCTGATTGAGAAGGTACATGGTCAGGACACAATTAGATTTATTTCTAGGAATATTTTTGCAACAGCAATAGGATCTGAAGCGGAGTGTGAAGAAGCAGGTGCAGAGAGAGTAATGAGGGGGCCACTGCAAATAGTCGGAGGGTAGTGACTAGAATCCAAGCAGCACAGGAACAGAGGGACGCAGAGAAGATGACATTCAGCCAGAGGTGAACCAACAGATCTTGGTAACTTCCTAACCACAAGGAAGGACAAGGAAGCAACAAGGGCAGCAGCTTTTGTTTTTCAGGACTGAGAAGTGAAAACTTTCCATTCCTAACAGAGCTTGGATTGTAAAAGCAAGAAGCAGGATGAGATGGTCAATCAACGACAAGGGCTTTGGAACCAGAAAACGCAGGCTTTTGCAAAGTCTTCTGAGCGGTTTGGATTTTATTTAAGATAACAGAGAACTACCGAAGGGAAATTTGCCAGGATGGGATGAGAAGACTTGATCTGGCCAGTAGGCTGAGCTCCAAAAACCAGAAAAATGTAAGAGACTGACAATGTAGGAAAGAGGTGGAGAAATTTAAGAAATAGTATTTTTAGGGAGAAGAAGAGGAGGTGGGATCAAAAGTACATACAGGAGGGCTAGTCATTGGAAGGCTTTATGCTGAGTTATTGAAAATTTGAATTGAAGTCTCTGATTACATGTGGTCCTCAAGGGGTAAAAGAGATCATTGAAGGCTGAGTGAAGAAAATAATGACTGAGGAGACTTTAAGTAAGTCTTTTCAGAGTGGCTGAGGAGAGTAGTTAAAAAACCCAACTACAATGAGGAATGAGAAGAAAGCCACATGGAGTAGGTAAGCAGCCTCTGGAACAACTGAACTTGAACATTCTTCTCTTGAAATGCTATCAGCTGGTTGAGCTGGTGCTTTTCAGTAATGCTCAGTGGTATCCACAGAGGAGGTGACAATTGTGAGAAACCATTCCAAGGAGGTTTTGAGTCCAGCACACAAGCCAAGTCAAGATCATCTAATTCCCACAAGATCACTTTCTCTTTCATATAGAGCCATCACCTTTTCCCTGTTTCTTACCTTAGTTTATAATCTTATTGTTGTTTGTCCTGACTTTATAAGTCTCCAAACCTGCATTCCCAACCCCCCGCCCTCCCCATCTCCTGCCTTCAAACCTGTATTTTATACTTTTGCAGATTACTCTGCCAGAAGCCTGCTTTTCTCAGAAACTTTCAATGGCTTCCCACAGTTTACATTTCCTGTCTTGGCATTCAGAAACCTCCCCAATGTCCTGCCTGGAATTCCCTCTCTCAGCACACACTATAGCCAAAATGCAACACTCCTTCAAGAAGCCTCCTCCGGGGCCTGTGGATCCTGATGGACATCAAATGACTGGAATTATGTGCAAAATTTCATGTATGATTGGGTATCTGCATTTGGTTGAAACAGTTCCCATTTTCTTTTGTTTCCCCCAATGGTCTAACATACAAAAGGTAAAATTTTAAAAGTATCCAGGTTGAGGATTCTTGGGTTCAGCCAACCTAAAATATCTGCTAAAGATTAAAGGAAGATTGTGCATTGAATCCTTAAAAAATTATTTTTAAACCAATATATGAGTTACTTAAGCTTGATGTTAAATTTGCTCTCATAGTTGGCACTTGATAATGATTTGCTAAATAAGTAAATGAATGAGGGCATTTGACACAGCTCATGAAAATCAGTATCACTATTTGTCTTAAGAAATAAACACCACTGGGACAAAAATCTATTTCATAATCACGTCTTTAAGAAATGAATGCAAATTATTCTGAAATTACCACATTAAAATAATTGTAAGACATTAGGAGTGCCTTGGAAAAACTTAGAATAGCAAGAAGCTGGCGGAGCATTATAAAGGTATAATTATAACTCCATAA